TCTCTCCTCCCATTTTATATTCCCTCTAGTGCTGGGATTAAGAATTTCTAGGACCATCTCTTGAAAATCAGGCCCACAGCTGATAATTTTCTTCCTTTACTTTTGAATAACAGTTTTGCAGGCCACAGAATTCAGTGTTGGTGGGGTTCTTCTCAATGACTTCCAACATTCCCAATACCTGACCTTGATTTTGATGCTTGCACTGTCTCTTCAAACTCATTTTGCTGTTGTTTGTCTTTGCTTTGAGTGGTGCTGAGGTTGGAAGCCAAGGCCTTGAGTATGCTAGACAAACACTCTACCACCGCTATACCCCTAGCTCTTTTTGCTTATTCCTTTCTTTTTTTAATTTTTTATTTTTATTTATTTTTTATTATTACTTTTTTAATACTAGGAATCAAAATTTCCACTTCCTCCCCTCCTCCCACTTCCCTCCTGCTCCCCCACTTACTTTCCCCCCTCCCCATCCAGTCCTAAGAGAGGGCAGGGTACCCTGCCCTCTAGGAAGTCCAAGGCCCTCCCCCCTCCATCCAGGCTTAGGAAGGTGTGCATCCAAATAGACTAGGATCCCAAAAAGCCAGAACATGTCAAAGAGACAAATCCCAGTGCCATTATCATTCAGCCCCAATTGTCAACCACATTCAGAGGGTCCAGTTTGATCACGCGCTCATTCAGTCCCAGTCCAGCTGGCTTTAGTGAGCTTCCATTAGTTCAGGCACACTGTCTCAGTGGGTGAATCAACACCCCATGGTCCTGACTTCCTTGCTCATCTTCTCCTTCCTTCTGCTCTCCAACTGGACCTTGGGGGCTCAGTTCAATGCTCTGATGTGGGTCTCTGTCTCTATCTCCATCTGTTGCCAGACAAAGGTTCTATGGTGATATTCAAGATAGTCATCAGTCTGACTACGGGACAAGGCCAGTTCAGGCACCCTCTCCTCTACTGATCAGGGTCCTAGCTGGGGGCATCCCTGCGGACATCTGGGACCCCCCTCTAGGGTCAAGCCTCTTGTCAACCCCACAATGCCTCCCTTAATTAAGATATTTTCTTCCCTGCTCCCATATCTGTCCTTCCTCCATCTCAACCATCCCACTCCCCCAAGCTCTCCCCAACCCTCCCCTTCTCCCTTCTCTCTCCCCCTCTCCCCTTCTCCCACCCCACCCCCATGCTCCCAACTTTTGCCTGGCAATCTTGTCTGCTTCCAGTTTCCAGGAGGATCTATCATTTCTACAGTTTGTTACTAGCTTATTCCTTTAAATAAGCCTTTGCCGTTTCCAGCCGGAAGTCTGACAAGATGCACTGGGGAAAAGAGACTGGAGAGCAGGTGTTCAGTAACGTGGTGGAGAGGTGTGGAGAGAGGGGTGCGTTCTATTCTCCCATGATCGTGTTTTAGCCTTTGGATGAGCTTGAGGTCTTGGACTCTGCTCTTTATTAACACTGCTTCTCAGTGTCCATTCTTAGGTGAGACAAGATGGCTAGCGGGGTCTGGGGTTGGTCATTTCTCTTCTTCTACATGACTATTGACAGTTGGCTGGAATTTAGATGTTTTCTTTTCCGTGTCAGTTAGACTCTCACGTCAATTAGATTATGATCTGGTAAAATAGTTTCTCCCGAGGGCTGACATTGTTAGGAACTAAATGTCCCTCTGTTGTTTAGCTGCCAGAATATGCTGGTATCATAATGGCTGCTTTCCTTTTTTTCCTGCCTGAAAAATGAGGGTATTTCCTCTATTTTTACTGGGACAAAATTCACAAAAGTTTAAGTGTGTTTTCACGGCACGGAGCCCCTTGAGTGCTCAACTTTGATTCCTCCATTGTAAGTGCCCAATAGTTTGTCAGTTCCAGCTAAGGTTTGCTACTCTAGTCTTGCTTCCTGTGGGGCTTTGCTCCTGTAGGTTGTAATTCTCAGGATCTGATCGTCTATCCACTCTTTGGAATAGTTGTTGTCTATAATCTCATTCTTCATAGATTTACTTAGTTTATTTTTCATTTTATTCCACTAATTATTTTAGAAGGGAGTAAGGACCTCCAAGCCCCTTGAATGCTAAATGAAAAATTAGAAATCATCCCTCCTTTAAAAATATATTTATTCTTTGAGAATTTCCTTCAGGCATACAACAAATTTTGACTACATTCACCACTACCACGCTTCCTTCCAAACTTTGCATTTTTTTTAACTAATTCAGTCCAATTAACCTAGTAAGCACATGCGTTTTAAAGATGAAGTGTCTTTTTTAAATATAGGCATTTGCATCTATAATTAATTTCTTGAAGCATCACTTTAATTGAAACTAATAAGTTTTCACATTTTTTAAGAAAAGGTCTCACATATTCCAAATGGACCTTGAACTTCCTGTACAGAGGAGAATGATCCTCCTGCCTCTGCTGCCTGAGAATACTGGAATTATCAGTGTGAACCACCACACCCGTTTTGTACCGTGCCGGAGCTCCAGCCCAGGGCCCTGTGCCTACTAGGCAAGCACTCTGCCAACTGAGCTCCCAATCCAGACTTTGCAGGCTGAATTTGCTTTCCATTCATCTCAAAGCAGTTTCTAGCAAGTGACCTTTATTGTAACTAGATCTTTTTAAATAGGCAGCAGCAGCTCTGTTCCATCACTGGGCAAATTCCAGAGAGCATTGGTTCTTCCAGACCTCTGAATTTCCATTTGGAAAGAATGGTTTCTGAGTAATAGAGAAACTGAAAGCGGACAAAGTGGCTGTCAGCAGGGCCTATAGTTTAACCCTTTACTGCTCTCCTTTTTGGGGGCACAGAGTCTTGCCCAGGCTGGCCTTAAACACACTGAGTACACAAGCTGGCCTCAGACCATCTTTCTGCCTCCTGCTTCCTGGGAGTTGGGATAACAGGCATGTGCCTTTATGCTTAGCAAACCCTTAGCTTTGGAAACCATTGTGTGGCCTTCTAAGTCACTGACTCCCAACTAAGGTGGCATTGCCCTCCTGAGCACGTTTTTGATTGTCATAACTGAAACATGGGATGGAGCACAGCTGGCATCTAATGGGTAGAGGTCAGGGATGTTGCTTAACTTTCCACAAGTCATAGGACATTCCTCTCCCCACAGAGACTTCTGGTCTGAAATTCCAATAGGACTATGGTTGGGAGCGATACATTTAGCCTCTTAAATTGGCCAGAGTAATTGCCGCTTGCCCAGTACCTACTTATGTAACATCTCACCGCCGCTTCACAATGGCCTCTGTAATGTCACAATCTGAGATGAGGTAGGCTATGCCTTAAAACTGAGGCAACCTGTAAGCCAGTAGCACAGTTGGGACTGCCATCTCCCAGTTCAACAGACAGCCAGTGACTCCTTGGACCCCTGCTTCCTTCCGCCACTCCATTTTCCATCATGATTTGTCTTGTGAGTACTGTCTCTCTGTGGATCCTTGAGGACTGGCGCCAGGACCTCCTTGGATGCAGATATTCGGGTCTTTGATATAAAATGGTCCAGCATTTGCGCATGGCCTTTCTGCATCCTCTTCTACCCTTGAGATAATCTCTACTTATGCTGCCTGCCTGTGTATGTGTGCCATGCGAATAATTGTTATATCATTAAATATTACTTGGGATTCTGGAAACTGAACCTAAGACTCCACACATACCAGGGCAAGTGCTCTACCGCTGAGCTACACCTTCAGCTTTCGTTTTCCCATTTTTTTTTTTTTAACTTGAGAGTTGATCTGACTAAATTGCTCTGGCTGGCCTCAAACTTACTTCAGGCCCAAGGGTAGCTGGGATTAGAGTCTTGTGTTATAGTGTAGAAGTTAAAGAATAATGGCAGCGGGAAGTCCATATATATTCAATTCAGGTGACATTTTAAAGCCATTTTCAATCCGAAATTAGCTGAATCCCGTGGAAGCTGAAAACCTATAGAAAGCAGTTAATGTGGAAGCCACAGACACGCAGTGTCTGCTGTGGGTTTCTGCCATTTTGGTCGACGACTGTGCTTCTCCTAGCCGCATGTTTCTCTCTGTCTTGTAGGCTCTTTAAGGTCCCTATCTGTAAGCAGCATAGCCATTAGTATAGGAAAGATTTTTCAGTGAATTAGAAGATGTGAAAAACACATAGCAAAATATTAACTTGGTCATATCTAATTGATTGAAATGAGGTTTTATCTGCTTCCAGAACAGGCTGGGAAATGGGAGATGGCCTTGGAACTGGCGGGGAAAGAGAACTTGTAGAGTCATACACTAGTTGTGCCTATAGACTTTATGATTAGCACGGTGTAGTGGGTTTCACTGATAATGTGCTGTCAGCACTGCAGAGGCTGAAGCGTGTTGATTATGGTGAATTTGAGGTTATTCTGGGCTCCTTAGTGAGTTCCAAGACATTGTGGACTAGAGTGAGACTTTGTCTCAAACCAAGAACAAAAATGAATTTTGTGTTATTAATAACAGATAATTACTGAATTGTTCTCATTAAATTCTTCACACTACTGTCTCCTTTTCTATTTTAATTGTTCTTTGTTTTTACTGAAAGACCAGTTTTAACCCTGCTTAAGAATGTACTATATATTATTATTTTGTTCCATAAACATCTTATCAAAAACAGTACATAAATCAAATCCTTGATGTTTTGTGTCATAATTATCCTTGAATTCTCTTAGTCTTGAATTCCTATATTTTGTAATTTTATTATTCATATAATGGGAATAGTGAGCCTTTGTTAGTTAACCTACCCCTTTCTTTAATAAAATTATTTAAAGCATAAATAATTGTGACCAGTACCATGTAAGTGGTAAGGCTCCTCCAGTTGTGAATAATTTGCAATAATTGTGTTCATATAAGTTATATCATATAACTGGTTGCCAGATAATTATTAAAATATTTTCCCGTGTGAACTAAAGTCCATTTGTTTTTCATATTGGCACATTTAGCACCAGCCTAGGTAAACTGAGATGCTTTTTCTCTGGGAGTTTCAATAGAAAATCTAAATCTCTGACCTTGGATTTGCTCGACTGTTATGAGACCTTCTTCTTGTTTCTCTACAGGTGTTACAGAACATCTTGGATACAGAAAAAGAATATGCCAAAGAACTTCAGTCGCTTCTGGTTACTTACCTAAGACCCTTGCAGTCTAATAACAAGTAAGACTCTTTAAACCCTTAGTAAAACACAGCAAGATAATGTCAGCACTTGGAGACATTATTCCTATGCCACTGAATAATTGATTTTGCCCTTTAAAAGAATTCCCACAGATCACAGGCTGCCAAGGATATGGTCAGGGCAATGGCAGTTATGCAAAACATAGCTTTTGGAGAGCTTGGCTTGTTTTCTGTGGAAGGAATGAGCTGCTCTGAGATTCTGCCTATGATAATTTCGGTACTGGGTATTTTTTGTCTCTTTTCCACTTAATATTTTTTAAACTTTAAGACTTGGCACTAAATAATTATACATCCTTATAGGATGGAGTATGATATTTCTTTACACCTCTACAATGTATCATATCAGGTCAGGGTAATTGGCAGATCCAGCAGCTATTGTGAAATATACAATTACTTTTTGGTATCCCTAGAAACCCTACTGCGCTGTAGAACATTCAGAGGTCATACCTCACCCAGCTGTACCCTATACCCCTTAACTGTCCTTTCTGTATTTCACAATCTTCATTTTCATCTCACACTTTGGCAACTTCTCTTCTACTCTCTGTTTCTGTAAGATTTGCTTTGAAAATATTTTTAGTTAAAGAATTTCCACGCAAGTGCATATATTATATACTGAGCATAGTCTTAGCCTCCTTGCCCTACTCCTTCTTATTAGTCTTCTTTGTTCCCCTAAACACACACACACACACACACACACACACACACACACACACAAAATGTATCTATATAAAATAAATAAGAGGCAACACCTGATATTTACCTAAGACTGGCTTAGTTTATTTAATATGATTTTTCCCAATTACATCCATTTTCTTGCAAATGACATAACTTCATTCTTCTTTATAACTAAACCTTTTCTTGTACATACATAGCACATTTCCCCTGTGCATCCCTCTGGACTAGACACCTGGGTTGGTCCTGTTACTTAGCTGTCACAAACAGGGATGCAATATTAAACAGAGGATCTGCTCCCTAGTGCTGCAACATGCACCGATGTGCAGGTGTACGGGCTCTTCTTTTCAGTTTCCACATTTCCTGTGCATTTTAAAGTTATGGGTCCGGTCGTACCATACAGAAAATGGATTCCTTGGTACTATTATTCAGAAATCACATAAATTGGAAATTCTCATGCTAGCTCTGACTCTCAGTTGCCAAGCCAGACCTCTTTCCCATGCTCCCCAAGCGGAAAGAGAGTGGCATTTTGCAAATGTTTAGAAGAGCACAATTCCAGCCAGTGTTTCATTCAGGCGCATGGGAATGATAAAGAGATGGAGGCCATTCTGAACGCCAAATGTACAAAACTTACTAAACTGGAAATGATTTTCCAAAGTATGAGCTGAAGACGGAGTTTTCATGAAAGCAAAATATATGTTAATACTCCCTAACCAAAGAGACCATCAATTTGACCATTTATTGTTTATGCTTGTAGGTCTGACATATTTAACTAATAATGACTATCTCTCTTTGCTACTTTAGCTGTTTAAATTTCGCTAGCGATCGTAATCTGTAAGTGAAGTAGAAACTTTGGCTTACACACTTTGGCTTAAGAAAAGTTGAATTTGTGGCCATTTGTCTGAACTAACAACTCCAGACTTTAATATAGTTTACTATTTTCTCCCTTTTTTCCTTTCCCAAATTATGTTGTTTAAGCAAAACGTCATGTTGAATTTTGATGTGACTATTCTCATGGCACCGTGGGAAGCGTTCTTCATATGGAAGCGTTTTATATTCCCATGTTTGGTTTTTATTATGTGAAATGTGAAGTGCTATGTGAATCAGAGTTTATAGAGTGATATAGGAACACAGCTCACTGCCCTTTCTAGTTTCCTGGGAGAACTGACCGTCTCCACTGAGTAGATAAGAACCCGAAGTCTGGACAGGCTCACTGCTTTGCCTGTCACACAGCCAACAAGTGACCAGACTGGCTCTACCATGTCTCCTGCCATGCACTATCTGAAATGTGCCTTCTGTTTTCTTGCTGGAACCCACCAGAGAAGTCATCCTGAATGGAAGGGGGCGGGTCAGATTCCAAATGCAGAAGAAACAAACTGGCAACCCTGAACCAAGGAGAGAAGGGGTAGGATGGGGTCAGCCTTGCCCTCACCCTCAGCTTGATGCTGGAGTCGGAGTTTTTCCACCAGTTCCGACTGTCTTCTCACCCCACAATGATGTGAGCAAGCCAGACTGTTTACTGTCTGATGGCTAAGAGGCTAGATACATTCTCGGGCAGGTTGCAGAAAGTTCAGGGGCCCTGCTTGCGGGGGCTGTAACAGAGAAGCAGCCAGAGAAATTTGTTGGCTGCCAGAGTCTCCTCTGACGACAGGGGTGGGGGTTTCCAGTTCACAGTTCAAAAGGGCATACCAGCCCAAGGACTGGGAGCTTGTCCCCTTCTGAGGGTTACTGGGAATGTTTGCTGGGATCTCCCCTTTTGATTAGTCAGCAAAACTTCTTTGCAAATACTTCCCTAGGAATTAGCTACAATATTTCTATGCTTCTAAAATTTGTTTAGAGATCGTATCTCTCATGTAGCTTAGGGCTAGCTTCAGGGTGAACACCTGACCCTCTTAAATCTACCTCTCAAGTGCTGGGATTTCAGGTGGGCCTATCACATCTTTTTAGGATCGTATTTATTTTTTAATTTAATTTTTATATTCGTGAGGGTTTGTTGCAAGGAACTGCTTGCTTGTTCATCCCAGCCGACCAGAACCAAAATAAGCACACAGAAACTGTATTAATTAAATCACTGCTTGGCCCATTAACTCTAACCTCTTATTGGCTAATTCCTACATCTTAATTTAACCCATTTCTACTAATCTGTATATCACCACGAGGTTGTGGCCTCTCTCTCTGCCTTCCTTCTCCCAGCATTCAATCCAGTTTCTCCTCACCCCCTGCCTACCTAAGTTCTGCCCTATCAACAGGCCAAGGCAGTTTCTTTATTCATTGACCAATAAAACTAACACATAGACAGAAGGACCTCCCACACCAAGGGTTTCTTATGTGAGTACTGCATTTTCACCATTTCCACTCCTTCCTCTACCCCTTCCAATGCCTCCCTGTCTCTCTGAACCCACTCAGTATTGCTCATATGTACATGTGTTTAGGACTGATAAATCATTTCTTTAAAAGCTTTATTTTTTATTTTTAATTATGTGTGTGTCTGTGTGAGTGTATATCATGCTTGCACAGGTTCTGCAGGAAGCCAGAAGGGGGCATTAGAGTTAGAATGTTTGGTATAACCCTTTCTTTGCTATCCATTGCTCTTTGATGTTCGGTGGATTGCTTGCCACCTTTTCTATGCCTGTCTCCTTGCCTATACAATGACACTTGGCCGGTAAATGGCCATGGCGCTTAGCTCACAGAGCAACTAAAGCTCCCGTTTGGAAAGCACTTGCTTGACTGTTGAATGTCTTGTGAGGGTTGGCTCCTGTTCTTAGCATCACTTACTGTTTGGGAAGGGCAAAATGGATGGGAATATTCCTCATGTAGATGCTCTGCACAAAAGCATTCAGTTTGCCTCTGTTTGACTCTGTTCTATCCAACAGATAAGAATAATAAGATCCAGTTTTACTTTCTCCCATCTAGTTCCTTTCAGGAAAAATAGTTTTAGTTGTTACTTGAATATTTTCATTTTTGAGAAAGCGAATTTTGGTACCTTTTCCTCTCTGTGATTGTTGAACATAATGTTTTAGTCACTCTCCTACTTTCTCTAAAAGAGATAGACCACAGAGTTTTAATTTATTCCCAATCATATTGTACTTCTATGTTTGTACTTTAATATTTTAAGCACATATTGTTTTCCTCATGGCTTAACAACATACCTAAATGCCCCTGATGACCACCAACTTTCTTTATGATCATTATTGTTATCTTAGAAAAGATAAAGCAAGGAAGGAAGCTTAGCGAGGGTGCTAGCGGCCATAGAGTTGTCATAAGTTAAAAAAGCAGAAGACAAAACACAAGCCTTTTGGCTTTCATACTTGCCAGCTATCAGCAAGCTATCAGCCCACTGGGCTCCAACTAGATAGCTGACGCATCTGTCCATTCTGCTAACTGGAACATCATGTCCTTTTTTTTTTTTTTAAATTCAGCCTTAGTACTGTGGAGTTTACATGTTTATTGGGAAACTTTGAAGAAGTATGCGCCTTTCAACAGACGCTCTGCCAAGCCTTGGAAGAATGTTCAAAGTAAGTGAGACAGTGACTTTGCTCTTTCCTTCTACACTTAAAAATTAATCGTTTTTTGAGACAGTGTGTCACATAGATCAGACTGGCTTTGAACTCCCTATGTGGTAGAGGCTGACCTTGAACTTCTTCTGATGCTCCCACCTTCACCTCCTAAATATGGGGATTATAAGCTTAGGTTGGGCACAAGGGCACTTGATGTTTATATATTTGCTGCAATATCAACCCATTGTCCTAGAACAAAGTAAAAACATCAAGATGAACTACCATACAAGGACAGCAGTTATGTTTAATGTCAAAGCACCAGATGCGTGTGAAGGCTTCACATCTAGTAAACTGTGTCTGGCTTTAATTTTAAATTGCACCATTTCCTTTGTTTGTATGAGGGTTTGCCTTCATGGATGTATGTGTACTGGGTCAGAAGAGGGTGTTGGATCCCCTGGAGCTGGAGTTAGGGATGGTTATGTGCCACCATGTGTGCTGGTAACTGACCTCTGGTTGCCAAGAATACAAGAGCTGCAAGAATACTCAACCACTGAGACACCTCTCCAGTGCCAATGATAGCAGCTTTGATGCTGATAACACATTTTTATTTTATGTGTTGAAGATTACTTGGAAAAGTCATTTAAATCTTTCATGTCCTATCCCCCTTTCTGGCTGCTTGGATTGAGGCCTTGTGTGAACTACACCTCGACCCTTACTTTGCCCACCCCAACCCCATGTCTTCAGTCCCAGCAGGCACCGAAGTTCACTAGGTAGCCAAGGTGGGTCTGGAAGTTTGGGTCCTTCCACCTCTGCCTCTGGCATTGTAATATTTACCACCATGTCCAATCTGTTTCTTCGTAGAACTCCTGGTATTGTGTCTGTTGTAGGTTGACTTGAAACACATACAAAATTGGAAAAGGAAGAGTGTATGTCCTGTGTGAACCACAACATGATCTTTAAAAAGATTTTATTTTATATATGTGGGTGCTTTTCCTGCAATCTGTGTATGCTTGGGCACCTTGTGTATGAAGTACTCTCAGAAACCAGAGAGGGAGCTAGATCCCCCGAGACTACAGACAGTCGTGAGCCACCAATGTGGGAGGATGCTGAGAAGTGAACCCAGGTCCTTTGGAATGGAAACCAGTGATCCTCACCACTGAGCCATCTCTCCAACCCCAGTAGCATAGTTTTGGTGACGTTTTGATTGCTGAATTAGTAAACATTATATTACAAAGTTCACTGGAATGATCTTCTGACAAACATATTTCTGGGGTAAAATTGATTTTCCAGTATATCTTGGAAAAACTGATGGATTCCATCAGTCTATGGAAATTGGGGAATTACCTGTTTTCTGAACTTCATGAGGATAAAATTTGTCCAAGGGGTGTTACATTGTTAAATTCACTTCTGTCTATGCTTGAACTTGGTGTGAATTTGAATATTCGTAGTGTGTCCAGAGAAATTTGAATGTAACCACCCTAGAAACAAAGTGCCTTATCTACTAATTCCAAGTGAGAATCTTATCCTGTACATTAGATTAATTTTAAATTTTATTTATTTAATGTGTTTTGGTGTTTTGCCTGCATATATCTGTGTGCTACATGTACAATTTAAAGATGGCTGTGAGCCACCATGTAGGTGCTGGAAATTGAACCCGGGTCCTCTGGAAGGGCCATCTCTCCAGCCAAGTGGCTAGAATTCTAATCTGTAATCAAAAACTGCGTATTCTAGGGCTAAAGTGCTTCCAGTGTGCACAAAAATAAATAAATATATACATAACCCCTGTGGCAATACATCAAAAGATTTGCCTGCTTCTGAGCTCAATTGCAAGTATCTTTACTTTCTGTTTCCTAGTTTGTATTCTGTACTTCACATGTTTTACTTACAGGTTTCCAGAAAACCAGCACAAAGTAGGAGGCTGTCTGCTGAACCTCATGCCTCATTTTAAATCGATGTACCTGGCTTACTGTGCAAATCATCCTTCAGCGGTCAACGTGCTCACTCAGCACAGGTAATGTCCTGGCTTTCCCCCAGCACGGGTTCTGTCCTGCCTTTCCCCACACTCAGTTGTTCTGCAGAGAGCTTTACTCAGGAGGACTTCTTCTGGGAATTTGTGGTGTCCAGTTCAACTCTCGATTATCTCTGTTCTACAGGACAAGGCTGAATTTATTGTCCCATGGCTTGGTCATCCACTAATGCCACAAATAATTTTTTGAGCACCCACTGTAGACAAGCATAAGTGATAGTGATCGAGGGAGAGAGGGCCCCACCTCTTATGGGAGGGAAATGTAGTTATCAAGTGAAACACCGTAGACATATATTGCCAAGAGGTTTGTCAAAAGGATGCTGGAAACTTCACATTATAGTAAGTTAGGGGGTTAGGGTTAGGGCTACGGTAGAGGAAAAATCAGGGAAGACTTTGCTTAAGTAAAATTCCTTTTAACACTAATGGGTTAACCCTACATGTACCAAGTATTATTGTTTACATTGCGATCAACATATGTTGATTGCACATATTGTTGAGCTTCATTGTGACTTTTCCACATATGCGCATGTCTTGATTTGTTCATAGCCACTTTCTCGACTTCTCTTACTTCTTGCCCCCTGAGTCACAGATAGTCAGTTTACTCTATTAAGATTGATATTTGTTTTTTTTTTTAAATTTAGGATCAGATCAGTGCATAGTCCAGGCTAGCATCAAATTCCTGGCAATCCTCTTCACCCTCTCAAATACACACACTGTCTGGTTTATCTTTAATTCTAGTTCCTGAATATGAGAAAAAAGTGCAATTTTGTGTTTCTATATTAAACTTGCTTTGTTTAACATGTTGATCTTTGTTTCCATCTACTTCCTGTAAACAGCATTCACTTCTTTATTATTATAGATAGATATAAAGATATATAGGTATAAGTAGAAATATAGCTGTAAAGGTACACACACACACACACACACACACACACACACACACACACACACACACCCCACATAGGCTGATTTCATTGCTTAGCTGTTGCAATTAAGAGCCTCAATAAACACGAGTGTGCATAGTTCTGTTACATGCTGCCTTCATTTCTTCAATTATGTACAAAGGGCTTATACAGCTGATAGTTTTGTTTTTAGTACTTTGAGGAACTTCTACTCTGTATAGTGGCTAGACTAAGGTATATTCCCATAAGCCATGCACAACGCAGTTTCTTTTCCCTGTATCTACCAACTTTGCTTGTTGCTTTCTTGATGAGAACCATCTGATTCAGAGTGAGATGGGAATCCCAATACACTTTTGATTTCTATCTCCCTGATGATTGAATATTGAGTTCTCCCCCCCCCAAAATTTGCTATTTGTGCTTCTCCTTTTGGAAAGTGTTTAGTTGGATGATTTGTACATTTATTTATTGTGTTATTTCTTCTTTGGTTAAATTTAATGACTATTTTTTTGAAGAATTTTTTTTCTTAGAGTTAAAAAAATATCGGGGCCAGCAAGTTAGAAATCTTACCAGCTGCAGAGAGGAGGGAGTTGGAGAGAGGAGAGAGAGATCGCCATTTGAGCCAAGTCAGCGTGGAGGCCAGCCATATGGCAAACAAGCAGACACATGGCAGGCAGGGAACATGGGAGTGAGCATAACTTAAGTTCTGGTGAAAGTGTGCTCAGGACCTGGCCAGTATCAGAAAGGAAAAGACAAAAAGGAAAAAGCACAAGTTTCGGGCAACTCCACAGCAACTGCACTTCTGAATTTTGAGAAAACATTTCTTTGACATTCTGGAGAAGATTTCTCTTCCTTCTGTGGGCTGTCTCTTTGTTCAGTTCTTTCTTTTGCAGTGAGGAAGACTTTTTAAAAAGAATCACATCTCTGGAGCGGCATGTGCCGATTCTCTCTTGATTTCCTGGCATATGGAGTCCTCAGAAAGTGCTTGCCTGTATTATATATACTTCAGGGTTTCCTCCTAGCAGTTTCAAAGTTTTTCATCTTACGTTGAGATCTTTGATCAATTTTGAAATGTGTTTTTGTGCAGGGTGAGAGATGTGGAAGTAGTCCCATTTCTGACATGCTGTTACCCAGATTTCTCCAGACTTTGTGTGTCACCGATCCTTTATATTTTTTTCTACTCGCTATCTAATTCCTATTTCCTCCAAACCCTGCTATTTCTGAGGTGCTGTGTGACACAAGTCTCAAGAGCTCAGTGGGTAAGCAGCAGGCAGTGGTAAGGAACCTAACGCTTACTGTGAGCTGTGTGCCAACACTGCCTTTAAGAGTTTACCTCAATACAAGTGAATTAGAGTCATTTTGCCTTTATTTCACAGATTGGATACAGAACAGTCATGGGTTCTGGACACAGCTCAAGATGGAGAAGAATAGACTTTTGATGTGTCTTAGCCCCGAAGTCCCAAACCCAGGCTAGAAAATTAGTTGATATCAACCCTCAGAAGTATCAGATATTTTAATAATGGAAATAAGTATGAAAGTTCCTTTAAAAATTAAATTTAAAACTACAGTTTTAAATAAAAAACAGCATTCCCCTTTTGAGTATGTATTCAAAGGAATCAAGGTCAGTATGCAATAAAGATACCTGCACATATATGCTTATCATGGTAATATTCACAAGAGCCAAGATGTGAAGTCAAGCCTGGTGCCCAGCCATCAGCAACTGCATGGGTAATCAAAATGTGGCATTTATACACAAAGGAATAGTTTTCAGCTACAAAGAAGAATAAAATCACAAGGTTCTAACTTCTTTTTTTAGTCCCTTCCTCAAAACTCCCAACTAAAACAAACAAACGATAAAAACAAAGTTACCATAGATATGAGATTGCATTGATAGCTCTTTGTTGGGCTGGGGAGTTGGCTGAGAGGGCAACAGTGCTTGCCACACAGGCCTAACCTAACCCTCTGAATTCGATCCATCAATCCCAATCCCACAGTGGAAGAGAAAACTGAATCCCAAAAGTTCTCCTCTGACCTTGTACCCACTTACACTCATGCAAACACACGAATCCCCCAGCCCCACATTATCATCATCATCATAAGTAAATTGAAGAGAAAAATGTATTTTAAAAAAGAGTGGCTATTAGCACAGACATTTTAACACAAGTGGTTCAATTGCCTAAAGGGAACGTTAGCTAATAATAACATTGAAAATGTACCAGGCATGCAGTTGTAAGAGGCCATGAGGAAGTTACTATTATTACCACATCTCAGGCTGAGTAATGTGTCCAAGAACTCATAACTGGCAAGTGGTAGAGTCAGAAGTCAGGTCAGTTAGGTTTCTAAAAATGTTTTAAACAAGATAGACATTTTAGCCACAAAGAATAACATAAATGCAGTCTTGAAGTATTTTAATAAAACATGCACCCAAAAACCTACCACCTAAGTCAAGTGACATAATGTTATTTTATTTTTGTGCCGCAGATTGAGATGTAATGCACAAATCATAGTATTCACTCATTTAATGCATTCACTGAAGCCACAGGTAGTAACAAACACCTGGATCTCAGCATCTGGGAGTTGAAGGCAAGATGATCACTAACTCAAGGTCATCCTGGGCTATGTAGAAAAATCAAGGCCTTTGTCTCAGGCTACATGAGACCTGATTTCAAAAAACAAATAATAAAATGTCAAAGATCATATCACAGTCTGTTGTGAGTCTTCCAATTCTTCTCATCCCAGTGTAAAGGATATAATGAATTGATCTTTCCTGTAGTTGCAGAATTGTCATAATAAATTTTGAAATATTTTTATATTCCTACACAAGCATATTCTTTAACAGTCACCCCACTTATTCTAAAACCAATTAACTAAAGGTAACCATACTAAAAGACTTCAATCACTAGGCATTTGCCTATACTGGACTTGGTGTAGATAGACACATACAGTATGTGTCTTTTGTATCTGAATTATTTCACTTGGCATTTTTGTCTTTTCAGTTACATTTTTTTGTTTTTTTTTTAAGACAGAATTTCTCTGTGTAGCCCTAGCTGTCCTGGAACTTGCTCGGTAGACCAGACTAGCCTTGAACTCACAGAGATCCACCTGCCTCTGCCTTCTGAGTCTGAGTGCTGGATCTAGAGGTGTGTGTCACCACTGCCCAGCTCAATTATATTTTTAAGTAGCAAACATAATGATGATATATCTTATATATATATATATATATATATATATATGATAAGAAGGATATTCCCTATGTATTCTGTGTGTGAGCATAACATACAGTATTTATCTTCCTCCACTACCTTCTTTTGTTTCCTTCTGTGCTATTTTTTAGACCCCTCTCTCTCCCTGCAATCAAATCTACCTTTGAGTCACATACATATTCGCATCTGTGTGCATGTGTGTGTGCATGCCTGTGCATATGTGTGTGTGTGTGTGTGTGTGTGTGTGTATTCTGCATATAAAATGAAATGTGACACTTTACTTTGCTGATTCATTTCAATTGTTAACTGGACACAATCTAGAATCACCTAATATTTATCTAGCTTAGGTTAATTTTTGGTAATTGTTTGGATTGTTAATTGAGGTTGGTCTCTCTAAGCACTGGTTTCTGAACAGTGTAAGTGAAGAGAAACGAGCTGAGAGCAAGAAAGTATCCATGCGCTTGTTCTTTCTGTGGAGGTCCTCTTTAAGTTCCTCCATGGAGGTTATGTTTAAGTTCCTGCCTTGACTTCCCTATAGTAATGGATAGTAACCTTGAATTATAAGCTAAATTAACCCTTTCTTCTCTAAATTTCTTATACTTGGGGTATTTTATTATAGCAACAACTATATAAATGAAATGAAACTAGGGATACTTTGATTTCTGAGTCTAGCTTATTTCACTAAACACATTTTTTTTAACTAAACTCAATTTTCTTCAGTTCAGTCTACTTTCACTATGGCTGAACAAAATTCCACTGTGTACATATACCATACACTGTGTACATATACCATACACTGTGTACATATACCATACACTGTGTACATATACCATACACTAGGTACATATACCATACACTGGGTACATATACCATACACTGGGTA